TCCAAAAAAAAAAACTTATACACAATATAAAATCAAACGCCAAACCTTTAACATCATTTAGATCATTTACAAAACACCCTGTATATTTTTATAGCCCAATAAAATGAAAATTTTTATTACCCCTAATAAAAAGAGTGAGCGAATAAAACGAACGTAAATGATTTTATAGCTAAATCTGCTTCGAGGTGACGCCGCGATGATTATCAATTAATAACCCGACCCAGATTTAAAGAAATTCCAAAAGAAACCCTATCTTTTCCTTCTCATTTCTAGCCCTCAAAGTGGATACGCACAAACTCTTTGTTTCTCGGGGGTTGCTTTGAAGCGAACCAAAGACAATGTAGCCGCATTCTTCGAACAGTCAAAGCGTCCCGGTATACTCCTTAGAAGGTCATAACGAGCCAGTACAATGCGGTCGGCGTTTCGACATTGCAAGAATTTCTTGTCGGTGTTTGAAGCCGAGTGGAGCCTGTTCATTGACGTTATAAGTATAAGCGAACATCGCTAGAAAACAATACGCGAAATGGCTACTACAGATCTCTTTTATCACGCCGACACAGCTATTTTAATACAAAAGTTCTTATTTGGGACAAAATCGTTGTATATACTGTTAAATATAGAGAAACAGTTTCAGAGGCGTAAGTATTGTTTTTGTCAGAAATTGAATTAAAATTTCTCTTAATATACTGTTTGATGTTGTTTTATTTTAATTGTTCAAATAAAATAATTGTAAAGGACAATTAAAATAAAACAACATCAAACAGTATATTAAGAGAAATTTTAATTCAATTAACTATTTTGGTGAATATGGATAACTTTCGTGATATTTGTCAGAAATGACTCGTTTTACAAATAAAACTAGAAACTAACGAGTATAGAAGTTCTGTTATTAAATATGTTAATAAAGAATAACATTTTAATAATTTAATACTGATTAATAACAATTTTTAGACTAAAGGATATGAATAAGAATGAAGAGAACTGATATGGTGATTGAATCTACAATGGACTCAAAAGACCAATTTTCCTAAAATTTATATTAAATAGTTTGTTTAAATAGTACTACTACAAATTTAATTAATTCGATATAAAATCCTAAGAACACAAATGATAACATATTCAGTGGTATAGTGGTAAATATATTGTATGGTTATCATAATCTACGTAAAACTGGGTCTACATGTGATCTTCTGAGAAATCAGCTAAATCAACGAATGGTGATGTCCAAGTTGCAGAAGTTCTTTAGGAGAATGAAATATAGTCAATAAGTAACACTAATCCGACTAAATGAGGCCCATTTTCTATTAATGGTGGTGTCGATACTCACTGTCGAACATGGGCCATAAAGAATTCACATCTAGTTGTTCCGTCTTCACGATAGTTCGGCGATATTTTCTAGATCATTCCAGGAGGCCGTATAGTCAACTGTTACTGATGATTGAAGTTACCTAATGTTAGCATAGATTGAAGGTTTTTTCTTGGAGATTTCTTTTGTGTTTTTTTGTAAATAAAACATCTTTTATTAATCTCCGAGTCTTTTTACGCAATTTTAACATCATTACTTACGTGGTTTTAATACTTCATCGAGTTCGACACCAATATCTTCCTTCATATTATATGGTAGTTTCGTGATGCTTTTGTATTAAAGTCCACATATTTCATATTTGATTTTGAACGACTATTTTCTTAATTTTGTTATTAGAATTTATCATCTCTGCTGTTCAAGTTGCTCACATTCTTGTAAGAATAGATTTCCCATCATATATGTATAGGTAGCCGCTGGGATTTTTGCTTGCTCACTTTTGCATAGTTCATTAGTCATACACCGACTAATTTGTTATCGTTGTGTATGCATTGCTTAACTGCTTTCCAAAGGTTTTTAATGTTAGTCTGATCAGTCGTCATTGTTTCAAAATCAGACTAATATAACTAACTACTAATCAGACTAAATAGAGTGATAAGAGAGGATAAAGCTCTCTTATCACTCTATTTAACCTTTGATATTCCAGGTTATAGGTATCATATTTCTTCTTTTTATACAATGGTACAACTCTCTTTATGGAAATCTGCGGTTTTTGTTTTATTAGTCTATTTTTTGTAAAATGTCATAGATTAGTGTATTGTTTTATGTCGTCTAGGTCTGTAGGTGAATGGATTACATAAATACCAGATATTACTGTCGTCAAATGATCTAATCTTTTTTCCTTCATAAAACCATGATCTAAGCAAGATCTAGCTCTAATTATTATGTTAATTAACGAATATATATTTCATGATCGTGGTATATAGCATCTACGAATATGTTACAGGTTTCAACGGTTTCTGATAAACAATCATATGAAAATTCTCTCGTTTACACACCATTTAGAGAACTTCTAGTGTATATTACAATTCTATGATTTTGGTTTCTGCTTACAGATGTCATAACGCATTGTATCCTTGGGAAAATCATTCAGTCTCAAAGTTTCAAGTCTCATCTCATTATTGCCGAATGTACTAAATTTCATTCCTTTTATCTAGATAACATATCCTGAATTTTTGTTATGAGAATCACAGTCAAAAAGTTATCGTCTTACTAACTTTACTCTAGTGCTACGGTTTACATGGCAAGGCATATGTAAACCAACACTGTAGATCATAATTATAATTAGAATCCATTTTACCAGTTGTTTAATTTGTGAAAAGGTAATTAAATTTAATTTTCTCAGTATTGTACTTTTGAAACTAGTTTTATTAATTAATTAAGTCTTACTAGTTTCAGCCCATGGCCAGCCTCAGAGGCTAATTTTACAAGAGTTCACAAAAATGTCATATCGCAAAGTATTAAGTTCATAAATGTAATTATTCAAATAAAATTCTTTTAAGTTTAAGACGAAATAACAAGTTAACACGTTAAAATTGAAGAACGTTCTTCAATTTTAACACATTAATATTTTTAATAAGAATCTATATTATTTGTGCATAAGAGTTTTGGTTGAAAATAGTGTTAGATTTTGTAAAATATTGATTAAATTTATTGTCATTAATTAAATCTACTTGCAAAACTAAAGCGATTCTCATAACGGTGTTCCTGCAGGAAATAGCCCCTTGAGTTGATTGGGTTGGGTTCTTCCTGCGGATATGGACGGTCTTGTTCCAAATCCCGTGATTCCTGATATGCAGATGTTGAACCACTCAATGTCCAATAACCGAAATCACTGTTCGAATTACCGATTAATCCAAGATTAATACGAATATTGTAGGATAACATCAATCGTGTAATCTTACTGACTGCACTACATAAATAAAATTACTTACTTATGATTGCATGATGATTACATGTATCCCCATATTAAAGGATACAATTTCTTTCATTGAAAAGAAATCTTTTTTATTGTCGCTTACATTTATTATTTTTTCTATACAACATTGTAAAATATGATTCAAATATTCTGTTCTAGTTCATCTACTTTAAAAAATTCAGTTATTTATTATTTAAAAAGTCTATTAATCCTGTTTTTTTAATAAACGTTTCGAAAATATTTTAAAATTTAAATAAACTAACTTGACTGATATTTGAGATTTTTACTGATAAATAAAATTGCATTCGGAAAATTAAAATCAACGATGTGGAAAATAACAAACAAGTAACCATATAAACGTGAAAATTAAATCTAGTCATGTGGAAAATAGTACCTGTTACACTTTTTTTCTAAACTTTTTAACATTAGTTATTAAAAGATTTGCTAATAAGAGCACGAGAGCGTGAGATAAACTATATAATTCAGGTTTTATATTTGTAGTGCTAATGGTTTTGTAACTTACTGACATTTGCATAAAGCTGTTCTGAGCTACGCGTGTAGCACGAGGTTGAAAATTAAAATATAATTTTTACACGCCCCTGTTCGTCAGGTCGGGTGAACGAAGACTGAAAGCGACCGCAGCAAAGAGAGGAAAATAGGGGTTAAAACGAAACGTGTTCGTTTTAGTATCCTGCAACTTTATATAGGAAACAAGAGCGCAGTTTTATCCAATTGCGCAAATTCTAAAATCGGCTTAAGATGGGCGCCCGACGGCGCGGTAAATGAGCTTTTAGTTAGCGGCGGGAGCTTTGAGCTTTGGTTTCGCCGAAATAATTTCAACGTCTGACATCGTCGGAGAGTGGCATTAGGCAAACGCGAACTTGGCCACTAATTCACTTCGACCGAACGATACGGCTAAGTTATTGCCGGTCGAAGTTTCTACAACAAATTTTAAACTCTTGCCCGACAAGTTTCTCACTTCCCAACCGTCGATTTCCACTTATCCATAATTCCAAGTTCCCTGTTTCAATCCTTAGGGACCATCTCCCTATCTTCTCACACAATTTTTCTTTTTATTTAACAACTTAAATTTCTCACCAATAGTTTTTAATTAAAAATACTTATTGGCTCCTGTTATATTGTAGCTTCATTATATTTACAGTACCACGAACACTTTCAACTTTGTAGTTGCTCAATGTACTATTACTACAATTCATATGAGTTCGCTTCCAAGAAGACACGCAACGATGGGGAAACTATTTTATGTTGGTGTAGAATTTCTGAGAACACTTAAGATGAATATTTAACTACTACAAGATATTCAAGAAGTCGAGATCACTAGCATTATATGTTAGTTAGTTAAAAATTCTAAGTATAGTTAAGAAGTCTTTGTTGTACTTTTAAATGGGATTTCTTATTGTTGGAAATTTGAAAAAGCCATCTTCCTACTTTAGAAATTAATTCTGTGTCCATCACTTTTTTTTAATTTTTAAGAATTTCTAAAACTTATAATTATAAAATGAAAACCATTTCAAAAGTAATCTGAAACTTCATAAAGGCAAAAGCGCAACAGCGTGCATCCAAGTAGGCGTCACGGTCCAACGATTTAGGCGTCGCGGCGCGAAACTCGGCGTCGCGACGCAAGTTTTCCACGACCGCCTGTTTAAAATCGATGTGTAGAAGAGACGGCGCTCAGTTACCGACGACCGCTCGTTGGTATCGCGCGCGTTTAAGCTCCGAGGAAAAGCTCCCGTCGAAAGCTCCGCTAAAAAACCACCTTCGTTGGCGAAGTGTTGCCTTCGATAAATTTATTTATTTAAATAATTCGGTTTTTAATTATTGACTTTGAAGAGTGTTCTTTTGAAAATTGTTCACGTCCCGAAGACAAGACCCGGTTCGGATCGAAGGTAAGAATTAGATCGGTCGCTTTCGCTAATCCATGAGGAACTAATAAATTCCGGCTCTAAAAAGCTTTCTGACCGTAAATTTAAAAATGTAATGAGATAAGCTCTCTGCTCGATCTCGAGGGCTCTTCTTCCTACCCTGGCGAGCTTTTCAGCTCAGGAAATGAGGAGCCTGCGTTCTCTAATGGTATGGAGACTTCATTAATAAAACATGGTTCCTTTAATTTACAGCTAGATAAGTGTTAATTTAAACGAAAAGTCGCTTTGATAACAATTAATATTCTCGATCTTATCGCATTTTTCATAATCAATTTTTTAATTCTCTATTTTATTGCCCTAACGAAACCCATCTAACCAAACTATAAATTTTAAATAACCTCATTACGTCCAGCATATTTCTCAACACTCAAAATTAATAATTCATCCATTCAACCTACCCTGCTTATAATATGGTTCGTTTACCCACGTCTCATCGTTATTTGACATATAAATAATTACTAAAGGCACGGCGAGACGTCGAGTTCTATACAATTCAATCGAATCCGGTATGTATAGTAACATATCCAAATCATTCACTTTATTGGAACGACACGATCATAGCGTTCGATCTGTGTGCAATGTACGCGAATATAAATGTGAAATATAGCGTATGCGTTCTAGTTGAACAGGATCCGCGTTATTATTGCGGCATAAAATATACCTCTCAGGTAATTTATGTTTTCACGTGAAACGGAATATCTTCCAAAAATGCCAAATTTGTTTCTATAAATTATCACTGCAACATGAATTTTATTTATTTATAAATAAAACGTCAATTTACGAGGAGATCGCGCATATCAAACCCTTTCAATGTACTGCAAACCGAACAAAGCAAAATATTTTAATGGAAATTCCTAAACAAACGGCGTATACACGAGTATTTATATTAATTAAATCCGAATTATCAGTACGATAAGCGAGAACGTAATCCGAGCTGCAGTTTGTGTGTGTGGACGATGAGGAGTCTAAACTAAACTAGGGTATTGTCTAATGCCGGATAAGCATATCTGGTAATTAGGAAAGTTTCAGGGCGAAACGCGATTTCTTTGTGGTCCCAATTAGACGAATTGTTCTGTTCCAGACTTACTGTGTTTACTTCGGGATTACATTAAAGACTTACTAGCTTTGTTTGAAATTAGGGTTGTCTTTTGTAAAGATGGACAATTCAGATTTCATTACGATGTTTGTTCTAATTGAGTACATCTCATTTCGTATTCAAAAATAAAGCTTCTTTCTTAAAAAAGAAACATCAAAAATTTAAATAGTAATTAAATATGTATGAATTTGGAAATCTCTTCACTCTGATTATTTCTTGATATATCTGAAAGGAATGAATAGAAAACACTGCTACACCGATAATGCAACAAGAGTGTATTCTGGAATGGAACAATTACGATTCCTCAATTTATAGCACACCGTGGTTATAGAATGGATATTCTATAGAAACTGCTCTTAATGATATTATTTTACGAGAAGATCAACAGGGATGCTAATGACTGAATGAATAATTTATTTTGTTCATTATTTTTAAAGCTGACCTTTGATTTGATTCAAAATTGCTATGAAAAAACACCCAAGCAATCAAAAACTTGTTACATAAAATTGCTTTTAAATTGTAAAACAAATTTTGAATATTAAAAGTAATTTAATAAGAGACTTTAATGTTGCTAAATATTGAAATGAAATAAGGTGTCGAATTTTTTACATTACGAGAGGTCGCAATTTTTAATGAAGAATAATAATAATAATAATTGTATAAGAAGCTAGCAAGAACTGATTTGATAGCATTGAGTATATATGCCATGATAAAGTCGATCAAGTGTGTTAAATCGTCTTCACTTTATAAGACTAATCATGAATTATTAAGCGCAAAATAAGTTTAACAGTATGAGGCTGCAGGTTTCGTGTTAGTCTGAGCGATTTAACTGGCAAGCTTTTTGCAATGTTTTTATCCAGCTCGTAATTACAGGTAAATCCTCCCGGGATCCCAAGGCCAGATTGGTACTATTAAAGCTGGTTTTATTTTACGCGCCTTGTTCAGAAAACGCCTTGCACCGTATCGACAAATTCGCTCTGGCTTTACAGGTGCTGATGCAGTTTTAAAAAAACCTATTAAGTAAAAATCCTCTAATTGATCGTATAATCTTCCAAGTACCTACCAATGAAACGATTAAAAAGTAATAGGTCGAAAGTCGATGTGGCTTTCATGTAACTGATGGAAATATAATTATGTGTTAAAGAAGGGAAAGTGAATACCCACCTTTCAAGCATTTAACTTTTCACATATCACAATGGACGTTATTGTTGTGAGTTTTACTATGATTAAAGCATTCCTCAATACGCATCTTACAATTAGTATCTAGTTGCAGGGTATCTACCATGGTGTAGCAGCACTCTTTCCATACTCTGTCCTCTTCGAATACGCTCTATAAAAAGTCTTTATAGGCAAATCACCAAATCAAGTGATACTCCAATGCTTCATGATAGCCAATTCAAGAATTTACATAGTTTCATATTTTCATAGTGCCGAGTATGTCTCTACTAACACATAAATATTAAATTCGATGTGCTGAGTCTCGACATAGATATTTTCCTCTAGAGTTGTTAGTGAAGAAGGATCTTCAAAAGCAATCTATCCTGATCTGACTATACGTGCATATCAGAGTCAATGATGGTTTATATAGATTTTTATTCGTGGTTTATTACCAAGTAATTAAAACAACGACTAAATGCAGCATATTTACAGGTCTAAAGTAAGTTTTTTTATTAATACTTCAAAATTTAAGAACAGCTGATATCTTGTGTAGGTAATAAATAATCTGTATTAACCTTAGTATCTTATTTATAAAGTACAAAATCATAATTAATTAAGTAATACAGCGTGTTCCAGACAAGTGGTAATTAGAACTTTTGTTTTATACTCTTACGCCATTAATATTCCATTTGTAGGAGTAATATCTTGAACTGTCGATCTAAAATATATCCAAGATTGTTGTCACATTCAGTCTACCGGAAGTATACCACCACGTTGTTATTTTCAATGGAATGATATAATGTTAGAATTGTCATAATAGTTAGTATGGAATGCACTTAATTCCGTTACATCTCAAAAACTTCAACATATAGATACAGGTATGTATAACGTAAAGTTGTAAGGAGTTTCTGCGATAAGCTAATCGATATTGAATATGACAAAACGATAATTACATTTTTGAGTAATCTGCATTAGAGCATATTATAGAGCATTCACAGCACAACGTATTTACATCGGAGGAACATTCACAACTATCTTTATACACATGATATGTAGAATGTGCTTCAAGCTCCAAAATAAGGGACTTCCCTGAACGGTAAATAAATAAAAACCCTCACAGAAACGCATAATGCACTAGTTCACACCATTGGAGGTCCAAGCTGTTCACACTGTACGGCGTTCAATGTAAATAATTTACTCACCGAGGTTGCCATTACCGAATATTCACACGATCGCAAGTGAACTGTATATCCTTCTAAATTTCCGCATTTACTTACTAAGAAAAAATGTAATTAAGATAAGTATTTAACTAAAAACCTTATCGGTTACTCCAAGTATAAAAGGCAGAAATTGACTCTTATCTATATTATTTTGAAAACTTTCCTAAAATTATTTGAAGATGATTTTTATACTGCTTTGTATATCTCTCTCTAATTTGGCATCTTGAACACAGCACCTTTGTGAATTTGTGGAATCTGTAGAATGTGCTGGATTATTAAAGGTAGATGACTTTTTGGATAAAATACACTACACTTCGTTAATCATTCAGTTCGGCTAATATTTATACGTTTAGAAAATATTATTTTAAATAACAAAGGTGCGTAACAAGTTAGCTTAGTAACAGTTTGGATACTTTACTCCTCTTTTAAATTCGTTATTTTTATGGTAACGTATCTGAAATCTGCACTTTAACTGTAAATATTGTTTTTAGGTATTATTAAATCATATCGGTAAACTTTTAGCGTAATACATTTATGACGTTTAAATCCACTTTAGTTGCATTTAGGCTTACTTAAATCCCCCACGATTTTATTTTCTTTTCCTACTTTCGTTGCATGACATTCGTATTCCGGTTGTAATTTAATTTTTCGCGTGATTATTTATGTATTAACGTGTGAACTGCCCTTATATTTCATTTAAACTTAGTTCAATTGTAAAATGTGTTAATCTGACAGTGAAATTGCCAAAATTAAACAGTTAGATATATAATAGTGTATTGTGTTATTTTCTGTGTAATCCAATTTCTTTGCTTCTCTTTCATGTTGATTAGTGGAAAAGTTCTGCTATCTAAATTAAATCTTCATCCTGTAATCCTGGTTTAGCAAGAAAATCGACTTATTGATTAAGCAGTGAAACAAGATAATAAAATATCTATTATTAATAGATGCTATATCATGCTTTAGAGTTAACAATATATTTTGAGAATCGAATATTAATCGAATTAATCAGGTTTTATTTAAACACTAATAAATTTTAAGCATGCATGATAAGATTATTTTTAATGACAAGTATTTTGATTAATTAGAGTGGGTAAAAGAAGCAAAAACCATTTTAACCGTATTAAAAACATTTCTGTAACCAGTTTTATACAACATATTACGGATTGTTTGTCGCAAGGATATCTAAAGTCATTTAGCCTTGGTATTTGTTCTTATTTAAAAAGTAATTGCAGATCATGGCGTATATATCATTTATCACACGTTGTTTATAAAAAAAAAAATGTTATAAAAGAATCGTAGGTAGATATTCGGATTAAAATGTTAAATGAAACTACACCAGAAGAAAGAAGAAAAATAGGAAAGAAAATTGACTGAATAACCATTAAAAATAGTTTCAAGCTGACTTCAAGTTTGGTAGAAATATAGTATATAAGAATGTTGAACAATTTTATGAAAGTTTTACGTTTATGAAGACAGCGGGGAAGAATGAA